AGTACCCACACGGGCACAGGGGGATGCAGTTGACAACAGAGATGGAACAGCTGTCGATTCGTTTTGTACCGACAAAAAAGAACCAGAGTGGTGGAAGATGATGGACTCGAAGATTCGACTGTGATTTTCCCTAACTGCCTTGCTTTACTGGTTTTCGACAGATGTCAAAATTTCGAAATGGATATTTATTAAAAAAAAAAAATTTATAAAATGTTTATATTCGAAATAATAGATTATAATTTAAAAGACAATTTTATAGAATTAATTATTAAGCAGCTCTTAAATAATTTTTATTAAATGTTTTAAAATAGTTTGATAAAACCTATACTTTATAAAAACGCTATACAAATATTTAAATTCTTAGTATATTGTATACTAAATTGTAATATTTTTACTAACAATATAATATTTAATAAAATATATAAATATTAATATTTTTAATAAAGTATTTATATATAATTATAATTAATATTTAATTAAATGTTAATTAGATATTAATTAAATTTTCATAATTTTTAATATATTTTGCTCCCAGAGAACAGTATAATTTAAAATATGTTATATTAACTGCAGCTGAATAGCCAAGTATCAATTAATGTATAAAAGAGACAATTTAACATTTTAATCTGAGTTCAAATGTATATAATAATATTCGACGAAAAAGGTACTTTTATAACGAATATCTTTAACAATTTTCTCTCAACAAACTTTAAAATAATTTTTATTAAATGTTTTAAAATATCTCTAATTAAATCTGATATTTAATGAGAATTTAATTAGCATACATTTTATTGTCGTCAACGATAAATTTGCTTTTAATTTCGATTATAAAAATTTAGTTTCCTAAAAATCTTGGAGTTTTTCAGATTGGTCTAATAACTTTCAATCTAATCTTTTCAAATTATTTTTATATAAAAATCCAAATCGTTTTGAAGTCCAGAAATAATATTTAAAGAAGTTAATTTTTTAACTTTTTTATTGGCTTGAACTCGAATTAAATGCATAAAAATCATTAAATTTTATTGCATAAGAAGATTTGTAATGCTTTAAATAAGCAAAAGTATATGCTTTCACTAGAAATTTTGTCACTGACAGCAAATGATTTTATTAGAAAAAGTATAAAAGAAAATTAATATAAAATCTGCATTAGAAAATATGAATGTTAACTCGATATATGTACTTATTTTTAGCAAAAATTTCTAATATGAACTAATAAAATATTGAAAAAGATAGCAATAAAAGTAAAAGTTAAAAATTTTTTTTCGGGAAAATTTTACCTTAATGTGTAAGAAATTTTAACTAACACATGCACTGATGTCTGCAAAAATAACTTTCTTAAAAACAATAAAAAGCTAGTAGCAATTAGTTATTCCTTGTTTTACCACTAAAATATTGATTTGTAATATTTTTACGAAGACAATTTCCATTGATGCAAACTTATGAGATCACCAACGCTAAATATTAAAAATGATTCATATCTGAATCTTAAAAGTAATATTTTTTTCGGGATAATTTTACCTTAATATTTAAGCAATTTTAACTAACACATCCACTAATATCTGCAAAAGATAACAATAAGAGAGTGAAAAATTAATAATAATCAGTGATTCCTTGTTTCACTAAAATATCGATTTATAATATTTTCACGAAGAAAATTTGCATCAATGCAAACTTTAGGGGTTTACCTAAGCTAAATATTAAAAATGACTCGCATCTGAATCTTAAATGTAATATTTTTTTCGGTATAATTTTATCTTTATGTTTAAGCAGTTTTAACTAACACTAATGTCTGTAAAAAATAAGATAGTAAGAAATTATTAATAATTATTTATTCCTTATTTCATCACTAAAATATTGATTTGTAATATTTTCACGAAAAAATTTCCATCGATGCAAACTTATGAGATCACCTACGCCAAACATTAAAAATGACTCACATCTGAATCTTAATTCCACTCTCAAAGATAAATGATTGATCGTTTGTCGCCATGTGACAAGGTCTTCACCTGACCGCCCTTTGCTCTTAAAAAGGAAATACGACCATCAAGCCCAGGTGAAGCACATCAGCCAAGTCCGTGAACGAACGAACTTGATCAAGGTCTTCAGACCAGTTTCGACCTTTCAGATATTGGATGGATCGGGTTTACAATGTCAGGTTGGCTCTTCTGACACAATTTTCAAACTTCATGCTATAGATGTATTGCTGGTAATCATAGTAAAACACGATCCATAAGTTCTCAAAGAATCATCGTGATATGCCAAACAGTGTTTTCACGAAATGCAGAAACAGTACGATAATTAGGGTTACAAGACATTCAATAAATTATTAATTAATTAAGGATCAATATTGTTTTAATAAAGAATGTCTATCACAATTGATGTACTGGTAATCATAGTAAAACACGATCGCTATGTTCTCAAATAATCATCGTGATATGCCAAACAGTGTTTTACAAAATGCAGAAACAGTACGATAATTAGGGTTACAAGACATTCAATAAATTATTAATTAATTAAGGATCAATATTGTTTTAATAAAAAGGTCTATTACAATTGACGTACTGGTAATCATAGTAAAACACGATCGATAGGCTTTTAAAGAATCATCGTGATATGCCGAACAGTGATTTACGAAACAAGAAATTTTTTTTTTTTTTTTCTTTAATACTGTAATAAGAGGAGCAGAAATATCTTTCTCTAGGTACTCTACAAAAACACTAACTTTGTCTTTGTTTGCAAGACATTAAAAAAATTATTGCTTAAGGATCAATATTGTTTTAATAAAAAGTTCAATTACAATAATGTACACGAAATATTTCAGAGTTTGGTTTTGAATATAGTTAATTTTGTGGTTATTCTTAAAATTAACTTTTAAAAGAATATTTTCATCATCAAATCAAAATATGAAGGTTTTTCTTTTTCGTACCTTATTTTATATAATTCAATATTTTTTAATTTTATCTGTAACCATGTTTTCCAGATACATCTAACGGTCGCTGAAGTGCTCACCAATTAGGTTTTCTTTTCCAATTTTAGATTTTATTTTTGAAATATTCTTATAATTCTATTTTAAAAACTATTATTTTATTTTTATAAATATTGATGTTTACAAAATGCAATTTCGAAAACGACTTTTTTATTATCGCCATGTTTTTCTTCATTTTAAATATGTAACCTCACTTTGTTAAGGCTTATGTTGGGGGGGAATGAAAGAGAAAAATATGCTTTTGAAACAGAAAAATACTTTACAGAAGAATTTATTGGTAAATAAAGCTCATGATGAAATCGTCCGAACAGTGGCTGAACTTAAGTAACAAACAATGAGTCAACCTAGTTTATGATCTTCATGAAATCTCGTAAATAACAAAGCATAAAATTTTTTTTTCCCCCATAAACTAAACAAAACATATTTTATATTAAATAGTTTATTGACGCATAACATATCCAATTCTATCAATTCAAACAAAATATTTCTCCACTTTAGCTGCACTGAATTGCAAACAGTACGGGTACTTTTTTTTTTTCCTTTTTTCCGCAGCACAGAAGAACATCTCTGTTCGAAACGGAAACTTCGGGGAGGTAGCCCACAGCTGGGACATAAGCCCCCTTTCTCTCCCTCCATTTTTTTCTCCCCCCTTCTTCTAAACTGGGAAATCCCCAGAACGGGGCTGCATCCCATGTTCTTCAATCGAGGCAGACAAAAACAACATATTTCCCCCTTCTTTTTTGAAGAAGAGAGGGGGGAAGGGGAATAAGTGCACGTGAAATGAAAAGCATATGACAGGGTAAAAGTGTGCCTAACTCTGTATCAGCTGCAATGAAAGACTTATGACGTGCTCTGACACACTGAAGAATAAACAGGCCTACAGTGCATTATTTGTAATGGAGGCATGATGTATTTGTATTCTCCCACGGGACTACTTTTCGGAAATTTATGAAATTTTTATATTTACTCAGTTTTACTGTTTTGTTGTCCATAAAATTTTACTATTTTTCAAAAAAAAAATTAAAAAATATGTTTTTTTTAAAGAAAATTTTTGTATTGTTTATTTTTCATAGAAAGTGTATACTTTCTTTCTCTCTAACTCGGAGACAATAATTGCCTTTATTTATATATGAGAGAATGGCAACAGACTTAAAAATAGATGGAATTCGAACATGGGAAGTCAATTCTTTCAGATTGTAAAAATAAAATATGCACTAATAATAAGAGATGGTGTATATTAAAAGAATATTTTCTATGTTCGACTGCATGATTTCAAAAACATTCTGAGAAAATTGGCGCATTTAAATTTTAAAAAATAAATAAATAAATAAAAAATTAGCTGTTTTTAATTGAAAAGAGATTGACACTTTTAAGTTAAAAAAAAGATTGACATGTTTAAATTTAAAAAAAAAATTGACATGTTAAAATTTAAAAAAAACATTTTTAAATTAAAATTTTCAATTTTCAAATGTTTGATGAGATCAGAACATTTCAACCTAATTAATTTTTTCTACCTTAGATTGTTTAAAAGAGATATTAAAATATAAATTAAATAGCTATAAATAATTAAAATAATTTAATATGTCTGCCTCTCAGACATATTAAAAACAGGAGTAATACAAGTAAATCATAAAAGAACCTCTTGCAATACAACCAATCATACATGACTCATTTTAATATATTGTATATAATTAATATATTGGACATATTTAATATATTGGATTGTGTTGTTGTTGTTGTTTATCCCACTTGGCTGGCCAAGCCCACGAGCCCATATGGACTCATGATTGAAGGGGAAGGAAGCAGCTTCTGTTGTGATGGAGCACCCGTAGGGTAGAAGCCTGACTTTTGCTCCGTGACGCTCTTACAGTCATAGAAGACCGGGACCTACGGCTTAAAGTGGATTCCGAACCACTACAAACATCCATGGCACCGCCGGGATTCGAACCCGAAACCTGTGGGGCACCGAGCGCCAGAGCGCTAGACACTCGGCCATTCAGGTCCCAAATTTGCCAACGGCACGCAGTGTTCCCAGATGGTCACCCACCCAAGTACTGACCGCACCCAATGATGCTTAAGCTTCGGTGATCTAACGAGAACCGGTATGTTCAGCATGGTACGGCCGTTGGCACTTTAAAAAAAAAAAATAACTTTCAAAACATTCATTATTAATGTTTTTTAAATATTTAATTAAGTTATTAATAATATATAAATAGCATTAATAACTAATTAATAAAACTTTTTGATATTTAATAATAATTTAAAACAACATTAATAATATTTAATTAAATATTAATAATTTAATTATTCTTAATAAATATTCTTAATGTTGTTTTATCGTCTGCCTATTTTTAAATAAACTAGGTTAGTCTGAACTGACATAATCATTATAGAATGCTTGGAAGCTGAGTTACTCAACAGGCTAATTTTTTTTTAATGTTTCTCTTAATTTTCAGAAGAAATAAATACACAAAATGGTAAGATATTTATTTATACTTACATTGCGAAACTATCTATGAAGTCAGTTAATATTAACTGATTTTGAATTTATGATAAAAGTTTATACTTAAGCCTATTTGTGAATTCGATTTAATTTCATTTCATTCTAAAAATTTTAATAAATACAAATAAAAAAAATTGCAAGCAAACTATGCTATTTTTTAAAATAAAATTTACTTATAAGTAAAAAAGGTTGATATTTTTAATTTCATTGATAAAATGATATAAAAATGTTGCGTTAATAATAGAATGATATAATAATAGATAAAAGAATATTAAGAATATTTATTAATGATATTTAATTAAATATTATTAACTATTTTTACATTAATAAATATTAAAAAGTTTTATCAATTATTTATTAATAATTTTGAAATATTATTTCTAAAAACTTAATTAAATACTTAAAAGAATGTTTTGAAAGATATTTATTTAAAGAATGTTTAAAGAATTTTATATTTAAAGAATGTTTTGAAAGATATTTTGGTACTTACGTGTTAACGGTACCTTGGCGACCGACTTGGCGGTTTTTAAGTGTCGCCAATCTTTATTATTTGGAATAAAAATATTTTGAAAGCGTTTTAATTTTAAATGAAGTGTTTCATATATATTTTATTATTTGGAACAAAAATTTTAAGTGTAGATTGGCGCCAAATCTGTAGCTGCGGTTGGCGCGTGTGCTCTTTATTGGCGCAACTGTCACCAAGGTACCGTCAATACGTAAGTACCGATATTTTTTTTATTTATAAAAGAATATATAATGCTGTATTATTAAATTTTGGGAAAAAAAATTGTAATTACAAAATTTAATTCGGAATTTAGAGATGTATAGGTAGTATTGGTAAATAATTTTAATAAACTTTCAAACTAATTTTTTGCTATCTGAAATAATAATTATAAATAATATTTAAGTAAATATTATTAACTATTAAAAGTTTTATTAATTATTTATTAATAATATTGAAATATTATAAATAACTTAATTAAATATTTAAAAGAACATTAATGTTTTGAAAGATATTTTTTTTATTTATAAAAGAATATGTAATGTTGTTGTATTATGAAATTTTGAGAAAAAAAATTGTAATTACAAAATTTAATTCGGAATTTGGAAATCCATAGTATTGGTAGATAATTTTAATAAACTTTCAAACTGATTTTTTTTGCTTCTGAAATTAATTATCAAAAACAGATGTATTTTTTCATTAAAAATAAAAATAATTGAGCTATTATTCATTATAATATTGACAATATCTTATTACCATTAATAAAGCACCATTACCGAAGATGCAGCGATTTTATTTCAACGGAAATGCTTCGTAAGCAATACAAACAACCTTATCGCAGATTGATTCAAAGTGTGTAACGATAAATGCATACACGGCGGAATTTAATCATAACAGAAATCTCAATTAAAAGAGATCAAATTTAAAGTAAAAACAAGATTTATCACCAAATGACAACTGCATTTTATTTAGCAAATGAAATGCAACATGATCTGATTCATTATTTCAGTGGAACGTAAACAACGAAAGGAAATAGCAGAAATTCCAAATAAGAATTTAAATTAATGATAGTAATCAATTTGAAGAAAATTTATTATTATCAATTCTTTAATAAAAGTGTGTCACAGGAAAATTACATTTGCAGAAATTAATTTTTAAATTTTTGATCACTTATTTGACTTCGAATATTTAAAAATGGGCGTTAACTATTTTTAACTATTTCGGTGTATTCCTTAATTATTTAATTACTAAAATTTTTCAAGAAAAAAATTTATCCTTAAAATTAGCATATCATATTTATAAATTAAAGCTTTGCAATGTATATTATAATTAATTTTCTGTATTTTTTTAAAAAAATCCACCATTATATCACATAGCTACATCTACAATAACGGCAAGTTTTGTAACTTTATCTTTTTACTTCATTAGAAAATTTTCAATGCAATATTCCGAATAATAAATAACTTTGAACTAACAAATGCTTAGCATAAACGCATCTCATTTAAACTTATTTACAATCGCAAAACTTTCCTTAAATTAGAGATTAATTAAAAAATAATTCAAAATTACTTAATTAAATGAATCTTTCTAATGTTTTCAATTAATATTTTATTTTTGTCACCATGCTTACTTCTACACACTGGCAGGACCGTCTCCTGTGGCGCTCAGGAGAAATGGTCAATTGGATTCCAGACTCTTACAAGTCTGTACTTCCCTGCTATACAACATTGTAAAATTTTTTGTACCGTCTACATATATGTGGAATTACCTAAATTATAAGATAAATAATGTGCTAATATAGATATTTCAGAAAAATTTGTAGCATTTCATCAATGAAAACTATTGTAAATGAAAAAGTTCTGCCCCTCGATATTCGAACTTTCTCATGATTTCCTTGTAAAGTGATATTTAAAACAAACCCGTTAAGTTTCAAAAAAATATTTTGATTATTGCTTGAGATATCATGATGCCGGCGGGAGGAAAAAGGAAAGAAAAGATCGATTAAAACATTTGTAACAATATTATTCTTTTTTGGCAGAACAATCATACTTGAATTCCTACTTTTTTCTTTTTTTTTTTTTTTTTTGAGTGACGTAAGTACAAAGTGTTGTTTCTTATCCCTCTTGGTAGATAGCAATATCTAGCCCATGTTCAAGAACCCGTGTGGTTTCATGGAAGGAGGTAAAAGGAGAGGGATAGCTTCTGTTGTGATGGAGTACCCGTAGGTAGAATTCTGACTCAGCTCCGTGGCGCTGACTTTTTAAGTCATAGGGTTGTCAGCGCTACGCCCAGCATTATACAGTCATATTACACCGGGACCTACGGCTTAACGTGGATTCCAAACCACTACAAAAAACATCCATGGCACCAACGGGACTCGAACCCGTAACCTGTGGCACCGAGCGCCAGAGCGCTAATCACTCAACCACCAGGCTCCATAAGTACAAAACAAAATGATTTAGTTTACAGAAATTTTGAATAGCAACTTTCACGAATAAGAAAATAATAATTTAAAAAAAAATGTCCAAGACAGTAAAATTAATAGTTATCATTAAAGCTGGCATCAATTTCTTGTAAAAATGTTTCGTAGACAGTGCTCATTCGGAAGTACTCATTGCTCCTCAAAACTAAAGAAACTTTCAGTTTTGTGGAGCAACGAGCTTAAATTTCGGTTTTCAGATGGTAATTATTGTAAGAATAAAATCGAATCGTCATTATCAATGAGAAATTGCAAATCTCAACAATTATATATGTACAGAAACATTCAAACTTAACATAGATGTAGAAACGGATTCTTTTCTACCGACTAAGAAAGGATACAATCTTGAAAGAAAAACAGAATTTCACTTATCAAATTTCATAAACAAAATTCTTTTCAAATGACAAGGAATCGACAAAGTTCAAGTTCCTTATTTACATTACGTTTCGATGGAATGTTCGGATTTCTTTGCCTCAAAGAGAGATAAACAGAATTATGCAATCTTTTTTTTACTTTAGATTAGATTTAATCTAAAAATAGCCTTGCATAGTGAGCAAGATGTGAAAAAGCACAGAAATTGACACAAATGTTGTTCTTCCATTACGAGATTCTTTTTGCCATCGCAGCCATTTTCGAAGGAAAATGAGCGGAACAAAGAAGTTTAATCTCGTTTCGGCGGGAAACAAGCATTAAGGAAACATGGAATCTTGTTGAATGAATAATTTAGTTCTTTCGAAAAGTCAAGAAACACATCTAGGAACACCGTTATTTGACATTTATTATTATAAACGACTTAACTGTAAGAAATCAGATATGCATTAAAAGAGTTTTCGTAAATTATTTATATTTTATTCTGTTCTATTTTTTGAGATAATTTGACGTGTTTTTTTTATTTTTATTTTTTTTAAATTTTTTGAGAAAATTCAATTTAGTTTTTGAATGCTAAATTTATTTTTTAAATTATTAATTTACTTGCGCATTACCTCATAAAATCTTTTTAACTTATTTGCGAAGCTTTCATTTTCATACAAGGAATATATAAAACATAAAAAAAAATAGGGTTCATAAAAATTTTAATTTGAGAAGTATTCTTTGTTAACATCACTGCAGCTATTCAACTGCAGGCTTTTGACTGACTTACGTAAATGTGAGACGACACTCCTGCCCTCCGTTCAGAAACTGTACTTGTAGACAACGAAATAAACTACTTAAAAACAGGATGTATGGTCACAATAAGTATACCAGATTTTTCTAGTAGCACCTGGAGAACGTTAAATTTGCTAAAGTTCCTACACGTATCAATAGTTAAGAAACTATTAATTAACGAAATTGAAAAGAAAAATATATCATTGGTACACGAAATTTTTTTGTCAATATTTTGGAGAAAAGAGAATAATCTAAACGTGTTAAAGAAATGTCTTTCATAAAAATACTGTATTTGATTTTTTTTTATATAAAAAGCATTTGAATTACATTCATAAAAAGCATTTGAAAACTTTCCCCATAACGGCTGTCACATTTTTCATCATCCTCACTAGCTTAGTAAAATGCAATGCTTTGATTAACTATATTCGTAACTTTGACCTTTGAGGATTTGATATGCGTGTCCGACACGTCATCTGACGTCAAGTGATTAATTAAGC